TCCTCCTCTAATTTTCATTTGGCCTAAGATGACCAAAAATGGTGTACACTGCAATTGCGTGCCATGAATGTCCATCCACTCCCAAATTATCTGCTTTGACTTTTGCCTGTCAAATTTCTTACAAGAATGGACAAGATATGAAAAAAAATTGGAGAGAATTGAAAGGTTGGGCTAACAAAGTCAGCAAGGGCTGCAGTACCAACTTAGCCTGCGGCCCAGGCCTTGGGAAGCTAGCCGTAATTCCCCATCCAGATTGTCCAATCAGGCTCCCGAGGGGTGTTGGGAGCAAGCAGCAGATCAGAGAGTTATGGGGCCTCCATCCACTCAGGAGAAAGCCCAGGGGCCTCATGGAGACAGTGATGGATTCAATCCACAGGAAAAGGTGTAGATCAAGCACCCCCTTCCTTATCTCTGGAGGATGTGTGTAATTTATAGCATGTTTAAAGTAGACAAATGGCTTGATCGATTTAGGGTAAGGGACAGGAAACACATGTTTCTTCAAGTCGAGCTGAACCTCACTGAGTCGGGTGCTTGTGATCTCCTGAGTGAGGGGCCTGGCTCCCCATCAAAGTGTCCCTCGAAGCACAGGGATGCATTACGGCCCGGCCTGCCGTCTCCGCCAAGGGCAGGGTATGCAGCAGCGCCAGCTAAGTGGTAATTTACATCGCTGTTTACAGGAAGAAAGAGCCAGAGCTGGGAGGGTTGAGGGGGAGCAAAAGAACAGGCAAGGAAGCAGAGAGAGGAAGTGTAGTGAGGATGGAGGATTGCACAGCCTCCTCGAGGTGACCTGGCTTCCCCAGAGGCTGTGCGGGGAGGAGAGGGAACCTGGGAGTGGAATTCCTCAGTTTCCCCTGTGTTTCTCGGTCACACCAGACAGGTGATGGAGTGCCTATCTCTGGGAAGTGATCAACTCCCTGAAAAGTGGCATCCTAGTGCCAGTTAGCTAGTAATCCAGGGACCAGCATCCTGGTCCCTGCATGATCTGCTCGCTGAGGGTCTTGATCTCAGACTTCCAGTAGCCAAGGCCACGTGAAATGAAGCTCTGTCCTCGATGGACACTGTCTGTGCTGTCTGTTCACAGAGCCCCAGCAGATACAGAGAGAGATAGCTTTTTGGAGGCCCGGCACTAGTTCCTGAGTTGCGTTATTGGCAGGGACAAAATTAATGCTAAAAATAAGCGGAGATTACCATGATATATTTTGCATTCAAAAATTAAGCACAAACATCAAAGGGTGAATGTTTTTGGTGTCTTCAGATGGAACCAACAGTATCCCACACAGCTGAGAAGGCAAACTCGGCCTGCGTAGATGGAGAAACAGGGTCTGGGCCAGCGGAGAGGTGATGTCCTGTTGTCCTCGGGGCTGAGTGCTCAGGAACTGTCTGTGGCATTGTAGAGAGAACCATGAAGATGAGATGACTCAGTGATCAGTGCCTGCAGGGATCTTAGCAGCTGCGTCATCTGTGCGGTGAGTGAGAGAGCATCTAGTCTTGAGGGATGGGGAAGATTGTGTGTCCACACGTTTAAAGGACTGTAATGACATGGCAGGGACACAGAGTCTGTGTCATCACCACAGGGAGGGCTTTGATCTGAGGTGGGAGCCTCATGGGGCAGAGCAGCCTTTT